TTTATTTATTTATTTATTTTGAAATATAAAAAAAAAATGTCATCGTCAAAAGGAATAAAATAAGAAAAATGTAAAATATATTTATGAAAAATCTTAAATAACATTAAATATATGTCGTCGTAATTAATTTATCACCGATAAGTATTAATTATCCTTTTGAATTTAATTAATATAAATATATACATTATTATTTAATTATAAATTGTTAATTAATATTTTAGATTTTTTAATGTAAAGGATAAATACTTATTTTGTATAACTATAATTTATAATAAATAGCTAATTTTGAATATATAAATTACATTACAATTAAAATTCATAATAAATGAATATTTTAAATATATAAATTGTATATAAAATTTATAATAAAATATTTATATTGAAATACAGAGTATTTTAAAGTATTGATAACTTTTTTTTTTTTAAATATTAAAATTAAATATAAGACTAAAATTAAAAAAGATAAATTAAAATAGATGAACACAAGTAACATAACTTGTACTTTTACACAATTAGCATGCCTAGCGTTGCACACACCTTTGTCTCACTCATTGATACCATCTCTTCTATAAAATGTTGAACTACTTTAATTTCATATATATTATCTTAAATTACTCTTTTATTTATGTTCTTTTGAAATAAGGTTTATATTTATATTTTGAAATGAAATCATGTATTCTTTATATATTAAAAAAAATAGAAAGCTACCATTTTTTTAAGAAACTTAATTAATCTAATTGAATAATTCATTGTTGATTGATTTGATTTGATTTGGATTGAAGTTTTTTTTTTTTTTTTTTTTTTTTTTTTATTTTATAAATCTGATCCAAATTGAATCAATAAAAATCGATTGATTTGAACTTTATTTTACTACAAATCTGAACCAAATTAGTTCATGAACACTCTAATCAAACACATGTATTATGGGTCAAGATTTATTGATATCACATTGTCAAATTAATGAAATTAAACCTTTAATAATTTTTCATAAAATGCACAATATACATTTTATTTTATATAACAAAAAATTATATTAAATAAATAATTTTGAAAATATAAATATATTATAATTAAAGTCCATAATAAATAAATATTTTTATCATATAAAATTATATTTTTATTTATACTAAATAATTTAGTTTGTAATCCAAGATTATTTTTAATTATTTGAAATTTTTATAAAATATTAAAATTTAATTTAAAAATAAAAAATTGATGTATTAAAATTATAAGTTGTTAAGAAAAATTCTATAGACACTGATAATATTTAAATATTATGACATTAAAAATTATTGTCTAAAAACACTTTTATAAGAAAAATATTATAATTTATATATAAAGAAAGATTAAAAATTACCTATTAATGTGATAAGTACTTTAAAAATTATATTTAAAATAATTTTTAATTAGTTGATAATATAAAATTTTTTATATCAACATCGTAGCAAAACTAATCTTTTAATTTAAAACATAAGATTTCATTTTCAACCCTAAAGTTAATAGTACAACCCTAAATTGGCCTACGATAATTATAATGTTACTTTATTACGCTTCTATAGATTTAACTTTTAAATTATTTCTTTTAATATTTAAATAGTCATAATTTTTTTTTCTTTTTTCCTTTTGAGAGGATTGGAGTAATAAGTACATATTTGGTAAAAAAAATTATTTATAATTTATTTAAATTTATCTTTTGACTTAAATATATGCTTAAATTTTTTTAGAGAACTTATGAAAATATAAGTGCATAAGCATAACTACGATATTAACATATAGTGGTTACACATCACATACTTACATGTTATAAGGAAAATTTATTTTACAAAGAACTTTGTGTTCAATTTTGACATGTAAAATTCTTTCAAGCCAACAACTTATTAAAAAAACTAACCATATAGCTTATGAAAATAAAGATTAGTTCATATAGTTTATGAAAATAACTAACAACTTATATGAAAATACTTTAATTATATTTCTTTTTTATTATAAAAATAACTTATACCTTATTGGTTATGTGATAAATACTTAAATTCTATTTGAATAAACTTTTTTTATAAGTACTTATACAAAAAAAAAAATAAGGAGGTAAAATGAATTTAATTAACTTTTTATTTTTATATGTTAAAATAAACTTATGCACATTGCTTTTATATGAGCTCTCATCTAACTTCCTTAAAAGCTGAAATACATAAGTTAATTTTATAACTTATATGAGAAACTCAATTCATTGTACCTTTCTCTCTTTTTTTTTTTTTTTTAGTTTAATACATTATTTGGTCCTTAAATTTTTTAAGAATTTTTAATTAGATCTCTAAATTAAAAAATTATAATTAGGTTCCAATTTTTTTTAATATTTTTTTAAAGTTAATTCTTATAGTTAAAAATTTATTTATAATCCATAAAATTTTATAAAATATTTTTTTTAATAATTACATACTTAAATGACTATTTTAGATAGTGTAATCATCTATATGCATAAAAAAATATTTTGTAAAATTTTATAGATTGCAAACAAATTTCAAAATTCACGGACTAAATTATAAAAAATAAAAAATGAAGGATCTAATCACAATTTTTTATTTATAATTTAGTGATCTAATCGAAATTTTTAAATAAATATAAGGACTAAACCTTTTTAAATAATATATTATTCAGAAGCTTATCGGAACATAACCTTATTAATATATGCACGGTTTATTTAGACACATCCAAATTTGGTAACAAAAACTTTGTAAACACTTAATGTAGAGACAAACTATTTTTTATGGAACTAATTTTAAAATTTCCATTAATGTTTTACCTAATCATAACAAGTAATTTAAACAATTTTTACATTTCTAGTTTACATTGACAGTCACTTCCCCATTATAAATTCATGACAGTGTGACATGAACTATCCTCCATTGTCTAAGCAAATTCAAGTGCTAAAACTGATACTATATGGAGCATGGAAGCCCCTCCATTTCCGATGACTCTCTAGCAAAATCAAGCCTAGGTAAGCACTCTAGAGAGCTATAAACAAATAAATGTTTGTTTTTATATCCATACTCATACTTAGCTGACATTTATACTACTTTCAAGATTTTTCTAGCTTGAGTTTTTGTTTTTGTTTTTCTGATTCAAAAAGTTCTTCTCATCTTGAAATTCAAAAGTTGATATCTATCATGGTTGTGGTCATTTTGTAAAAGAGGCATAATCTCTTCCATTCTCTCGATTTCAAATGGTTTCTTTCTTTGAGTGTGTGAGAAACAAAAATCTAAAACTATTTGGGGGTCCTGACATTTCATCTACCATGTACATCAAAATGATAAATAAAGTTCTCTCTATATAAACATTTTAAAATATAAAAATTTATAACATAATATATTTAATTAAAGTTTAATGTATCATTTGATCTCTAAACATTTTTGAAAAATTTTAATTATATGTTTAAACTAAAATAATTGTAATCAAATTTTTCACTTTTTTTTTTATTTTTATATATGTACAATTTAGTTTATAAGATTAGCAATTCATTTATTATCCATGAAATGTCATAAAATATTATTTATATCTTCATACTCAGACAATCATATTATATTATTATCTCATGTTATCATCTATGTTTATTAGATTTTAATCTTTACTTGCTAAAATTTTCTACTATTCTATAATTTTTTATATGATTATTAATATTACAATAATTTTTATTCATCGATTTAAATATATTACATATGGATGATGATACACAAAATAGTAATCTAATATGGCTAGTTATATATATGACATAAAAATATTATGTCATATTTTATGATTTTTAAACAAAATTCTAACCCTATAAATTAAATTACAAAAATATAAAATATTGGAGGACTCAATTATAATTTTTTAAAAAAATATATATGGACCACAGACAGTTGTACCTTCAGACAGCCCCAAGAAGAGTCTTGTTTGGGGATTCGGTTATGCGTTTGGTTTTAATTTTCTTGGACCTAAGAAAATAAACTCTTTTAGAAGATATGTTTTGCTTGAAAATCCTGGAATGAGATAATGAGCATCTACGTTTTGATTTGAGGGGATGATAAAGATAAAAATATGGGGTCATCTCTTTGATCTACACAGTTGTCTTGATTTTTATCTTGTTACATTTACTTCACATTTGATATTTGATATAGTAAATGGGAAATTATGTCATGCATTTGAGCTGTAAAAAGGTTTTATACTATTATTTAATAATAAACTATGATAAGTTTATTGATTTCATTAATAATTATTTTAATAATTATAGTATGGTAATTTTTATTGATTGACATATAACATTGTAAAATATTTTGGATAGACAATATATAACTATTAGGAAATGTTTGATACATAACAGTTGTTTTTATACTCAAGAATCATTAATCTTAAAAATTATAATTTCTAAAAATAATTAAAAATTTATTTAATTAATTATAAATATTTTTAGAAATATTTATAAATATTCTTTCACAATCGATTATTTTTTTTTTTACTTCATCAAATAAAAAAATAAAATTAACATGATAATTTTACCATATTAAAACTTTCCTTTAAACTTATAAATATTAGATCCCCCATCTTCCCATGGAAAGGATTTCACGAAAAAAGTTATGAAAGAAAAAAACATTTCTTGGAAACAATTATTTTTTATGAGTATTATTTATAAAATAACAAACCAACCATGTAAAACTTCAAACAAACATGTCAAACTTCATATTTTCAAGAAAGTAAAAGTTTCTTCTTTTTTTTTTACACCTCCTTAAAATCAAATAAAATTAAAGATAAATTAAAATTCCCAGGCATAACATTATTTTTTTTTATGTCTCAATTCTAATCCAAACACACGCATAGCTAACGTTACTATTTGGATTTGTTAAGATTCAAAGGCTTTGCAGGCAGAGAAAGAGAATCCTTCGGCAAACAACGTTGGCGCTGAAACTGGGTCACGTGGTGTAAATGACGCACCTGGCAGTGTGGGTTTACCGGAAGATGACCGGTGCATGCCGGTCACAAATTTGGTGAGGATCATGCGAAAGGTGCTTCCCCCGCAAGCGAAAGTTGCTGAACAAGCCAAGGAAACAATGCAAGTGTGTGTATCCGAGTTCATAGGTTTCATCACCAGCGAGGCCAATGAGCGCTGCCAGAAGGAGCACCGTAGGATCGTTACGGCCGAAGACATATTGTGGGCCATGGACACGCTGGGCTTCGACAACTATGTTGGGCCTCTTGTTTCCTTCCTCAAACGTTATCGTCAAAGTGAGGTTCCAAATCTTGGGGGGCGTGGTCGTGTTCCTTTGCCGCAAGTTGTTGGAACTTATCCTATTATATCCTCATCATCATCACCATCACCATCACCATCACCATCATTGTTATCACCGCAATACATGATGGCTTGTTATGGACCAAATTTCCCTCCAAGCCAAAATTGGTGTCAAGGAATGTTTGATTCAAGTGGCATGTGTGAGTTTTATGATGATGCATCAGGTGGCAGTGGTAATGTGGTGTCTGATTTTGATCCTCTTAATATTCACAAACGAGCATGATCGCCAAGTTGAGAAGGTGGTTTGAGAACATAGGTGCTCATGGGGGAAATGCATTTATGGAATAAGAATGGAATAGAATTTCAATAATACAATTATGATAACTTGTGGAAATGGTAGCATTGAATTAATGGATTATCAAGTTTAATCGATAAATATTGCGTGTTTGGGTAAACCATTCAAAATATGATTTGGATTATTTATTTTAACTATTTCTTTATATTATTATATATAAAAAAATATTTTTCTTAATAATTATTTTTAGTCTTTATTTTTATTGAACAAATTTATAAACATCACAACACATGGATCTGTATAAACATATCAAATATATAATAAGGATATAAAGAAGAGCATAAAAACCACAATTTCCATGGCATCTACTTGAAAGCATAAATCTCCTATAGGATTACAAAATTTTCAAATATACAAAATTTATGCAATACAAAAATAAGAGATAAACTTCTAAGGTTAGTTTAAACATATATACAATTGCATTAAAGTAGCTTCCACCAAAAGTCATCCAAAGGACTTGGCCACCACACAACCTCTAAGCAATCCTCCAACCTATTCTTTACCTACTTTTATATTATATATGATCATTGACTTTTAACAAATGAAAATATAAAAGTAAACTTGTATACAAAACAAAAACATATATAAAATATGCTTAAAAGCAACATCATTAGCATGATTAACAATTTACAACTTGAATCAAAATCAACATAACATCATTGCCAACTTTACAACTTAATGCAACATATTTCAACATTTTCAACTTCAAATTAACTTATACTATTTCAAATTTAAATAACTTGATCAACTTAGGCAGCATAATTAACTTTCAAAGTATACAACTTAACAACATAATGATTCATCACACATTTCTACTTTGGAGATCTCTTATAGTGTTTGAATAGTTTAATTGGTTTAACTCTATCAAACCTATACAATTGCAAGTCGCTATGGGTGATAAGTGTCTAATCAGTTTGATGAAATTTAAATTTGAGACACTTATCTAGCACACTTTTTGCATATATATTGATATAATTTTGGCAAATACTTTAAGAATCAAATAGGGGCTCTTAATTTACATTATTACATGGAGTGATGAGTTTTTGATCAGATTTTCCTCTTATTTTTTAGTTTTTGTGAAATCTGGAGGCAAACGACTGAGCGCCTTGAAACGGCTGAGCGCTTTCAAGCCAGAGAGCTCAACAAATGCAGCAAAGGAGAGGCGCTCAGCCACTCTAAGGCGCTGAGTGGATTTGGCCCTGGAAGAAGGAGTGCTCTCTGCCTCCTAGGCGCTCAGTGGATATGAAGCGCCCAGCCCCTTGTCCTTGCTTAACAGTGAAGAATCTCCAAGGCGCTCAGCGGATTTGAACGGCTCAGCCCTTCAGATTACTTCATGGTGAAGAATTCGTCAAACTGCTCAGCCGTTTCAAGGCGCTGAGCGGATTCTTCTCTTTCCTGCCTACTTTGTTTTAGTTCTAGCACTTATAAAAGGGCAGAGGAGAAAGAAAAAGGGGATCACTAGCGGTACGAAGTGAAGAACAGAGATGAACGAGGAAACATAGCACTTTGGAGCTCGTGGGGACGCGATTCTTCAGAGGATCTCTTTCTTCTACCTTTCATCTTGTTGTTTTGTGATTTCTTGTACCATGGAGAGCTAAAGCTCTAGGTTTGGGATTAATGTAGTCATTAAACTCCTGTGTATTCCTCTTTGATTTATATATATATATATCTCATCTATTACTCAATGTCAGTGATTTGTATTATGTTCTTAATGCTTTGATAAACTGATCATTTATCCTTAATCTTGGATTTAGAATTTGGTTGGAAAACTTTTTCTGAATCTAGACTTGAAACAAATCACCTATTAGTTTTGAGAGCCAGGGATAGTCTTGAAATTAATAGTTGCAACAAGTTCTGATTCTTAATGCGGGATATTGAACTGAATGAAGTGAGGAATCATTCATTGAGTTAAATATCTCAGAATTTCTTATGCCAAGGGATTGAGTTTGAATGAAAATAGAGAACTCAATGGCAATGAGTAATGGAATCATTTAATAGAATCATTAGGAATACATAGGAGGGAGATTGATGAATTTGATCCCAAATTGTTTCTCATATCTGTTTTATTAAATCTAATCTTTTGGTTACTTAAGTTTGCATTATCATTCACATCAAATTTGACCATGTGTAATTACTCAAGTTTTAAATTCACAAGCATCAATTAGTATAATAGAAATCATAGCTTACTTCACAAGTCCCTAAGGTTCGACAACCTTTTAATTATACTACAGAGACTTGGGTGCGCTTGCCCAGAATACCAACAATGGGTCTCAAGACAACAAAATGTCACTTGAAGCCTGAAACAAATTTATTTTTATTTCTCATATTTTTTCACTTAAACTAGGAAGATCCAATAGTACCATTAGGTATAGTACAATTTGAGTGTGGGACTACCAAAAACTTTGACATGCATAAACTATGTCCTAAATGGAATTAACCTGCTATCTATCCTCTAAATACAATGCACCCTTCCAGCACTTATTTAGGGATTTTAACCTTGACTCCGTGCCTTACTTTGTGGCTGCTTTAGACAAGTATGACTCATATTGGCCCATACTATTTTCAACAAAAACCTAGATGATAACTCCCTCTAATAAGTCCTTAGCATAACTTTATAATTGTAGTTTTCACAATACCTGAAAGGTTATCACAAGAACTTAAATCAACAACCAAACCAATAAAAAATGCATCTTAAAGCATAAAATTAAGAACAAGAACAATAAATACAGGTCAAACAATTGAAAATACATCAAATGCAGGAATCTAAAAGGCTCCTTAAGGCCCCTTCAAAACAATAGAGAAACAAACAACGAGATTGTGGGTCAATCTTGCTACCCAAAAATTGCCCACGAGTGAGACAACTCACTCCCTCCTTACCTTAATAAACATCCAACAATGAGAAAGGATCTCTGGGGCGATTCCTTCCTTCAGCTTCAACGTTCTCTATAAGTGTTTGAGTTTAGAGCAAAAGAAGAAGAACTTAAAGCGTAAATGAAAAATTGATGAGTTAGCCCCCTTTGATAACACCCTAACCCAACCACAACTTTTTGGGTTAAAGAAACTAACCTTACAAAACTCTGATTTTTGTAAAATAAATTAAAAAAAGTAAAATTGTGATTTTTAAAAATAATTTAAAAAATTATTAAAATGAGGAAGGCTTTTGAAAATAATAATTAAAATAAGTGCTTTGAAAATAAATTAAATGTTTTTTTATTAAAATTATGAAGGGTTGTGAAAATATTAATTATATAATATAAGAGTATTTTTTGGAGTTATGTCATTTTATTTATGTTGTTTAAATTAATAAAAAAGATAGAGAGATGTTGACCCTAAGTTAGTTTCTTTAACCCAAAGGTAACAATTTGGTTAAAGAGAAATTTTGAGGGTCAATTTATCTGACTCTCTTCTTACATTTCATCTTACATTTGATTCTACACTTCTTTTTTCTAAGAAAACATGTAGATAGTCGAAAAAAACGTCGAAGTTGCAAGAAGGAACCCCAAAGATCTCTTATTGTCATCAAGCATTTATCGAGATAAAAGGAAGTGAGTTGTCTCATTCATGGGTGTGGGATGATTGATGGGTAGCAGGATTGGCCTCAAATCCCAATGTTTGGAGTCCTCTGATGCTCTATTGGAGACCTTGAGAACCCCCTTGTTTGATTTACTTTTACCCCTTTAGCTTTTGTTCTTATTTTTTGTTGCTCTATAAGTGACCTTGAGAGCCCCTATGATTGTTTGCATTTAAGGAAATAATTGTCTAGACTAAATTGCTTGGTCTTGTAAAATTTCTCTCTATATTGTGACTTTGATTTGTAAAGGAATGAATTTGAATTTCACTATGAACCCTCAAGTTTTTTGAGATCCTTGGAACCTATAGATTAAGCTTTAATAATTCTTATAGAAAGTTTTGTGCCTAATTAAGCATATTTTATGATCAAATTAGACTTCATGGTCTTCATATGAATTGTATTCCTAGATGTTTGCCTCCCAATGGCATTATAATCACTAAAAAATGAGGTTTAGAACCCAAGATATGATCAAGTTAGTGAGTGAAGGTCAAGTTATCAAAATTAGGTTGTAGTTTTTGTAATTTCTAGGTATAGTAGATGGTAAAACAACACTTGAGGCCAACATAGAATGATGAAAATCTACTTCCCAAGAATCCCTTTGGAAGAGATAAGTCCAAGAAGGGTGAAGGTTGTAATGATTAGGCTAAGTAGTTGGAGTTAACTTAGGTTATTTTTAAACTAGGATTATCTTGGCTTGCTTCATAAGCTTCTAGATAGCTAACTAGACTTCCAAACATTTAACTAGAGTTAGTTAGCTTAAGTACAAGATAGCTAACCATGGTTAATCTAGCTTGTACCATAAGCCAACTAAAATTTATATATTGTATCTTTGTACCCACTTTGTACTAGTTTTGAGTATTGTTAGAATTGGATGAAATTTTCTCTCTAATTCTCTGTCTTAAAGCTTGTTTCTCTCTTTGAAATTCTTATTTTTCTCTTATACTCTCTTGAGTGTGATAAGAAATTAAAGACTTATCACTCTTCAAGAATGTGACATCACCTAAGGGAGATCTTTCTCTTGTATGTTAGAAATGGCTTCTAACATCATTGTAGGCCATTGAAGGAGATTAAAGGAGTCCAAAAAGTTAAAGATCAATCCAATAAGCTTAAAGGAAAAGCTACATCAATCTTACCTCTCCTAAGGTTTCCGTCATTTGATATCAAGAGCAAGGTCTTCTTGGTAAACTCTTACCATAACTTCTTTTACTTTTTGATTCGGTAACAATGTATATTCCTCTATTGTATTGTGTTTGTATGAATTAGAATTATCCTTATATCACATATATAAATCTATACAATAATTCACTTTGTCTAGTAGTTTTTGATTCATGCATCAATTTATATGAATCAATTTTCA